AAGGTGGTGACGAACCGGCTGGTGATGGACTTCAGCTCGTTGTTTGCCAGGGAGATGCAGTGGATCCCCTCAGTGACGCTTCTCATGGCTTTGTAGATGCCAACGGGGAAGGCGATCAGCTTGCAGTTGGCCAGATCTGCCCCCGGGAGAGACCCAGGCACCTTACAACGCACCCAAACTGGGATGGAGCAATGCTTTCCATCTTGTTTTCCACCCCTTCATGCTCGATTTGCCCATCTGGGTGCTGCTGCCCATGTCCCCTGCCTGGCTCCTCTCTGTTGCAGGGACCTTTGCCATCACCTACGCAAGCACCAATAGTTCGTTCCCATCAGCGATGCTGAGGCTGTTCTGCATTGGGGTGCATGGAGAACCCTGAGCAGGATGGGAATGGGGCAAGGCTTTTCCTGGCTGGGTTTCTCATGGTGATGGGCAACAAGGAAGGGAAAAAGATAGCTTTTTGTTGCCTGTCAGTGGATTTGGCTGCTATTCTCACCTATTGGCATTTCTGGTTTGCTCCAAGTCATTCCTGTGTTTCCCATCGCGGGAGATGCCAGGGGGTGGGAAAGCCTGTATCCTGATCTCGTGATGCCCACCTCCAAGCCATAAGAGGGGCTGTGCAAGCTCGGTCCTCCCCAACTTATTGTCTGGCACGGGAGGACATGGAGAGGCTGAGCAATGAAGCTCCGGCTCTCAGTGTATTCCAGTTTATACCCCGGGACTGGGAATCCAGCACGAATAAAAATGAGCTGCTTTCATCTCTCTCTTTTGATGAACCATGCGTGGGCCTCAGATATTAACTAGAAACAGGGAAATCGGGGAAAAACACAAATCTGACAAGATGACAAGGGGAAGGGTCTGGCTCCTGCCATCCCTTGCGATGAGAGATTTTTATCCCTAGGGTATCTCATGGGATTTACGTGCCATTGCTGAGAACCCACTCCAACTTTGGGGCAGCTGGGAGGCCTTTGGGGGAGTCTTTCCCTTCCCAGGGGTGTGGGAGCCTTGGGTGCAGCACCCAGAGAGGGGAGCTGACAGCTTTTTTTTTTTTAAATCGTGGCAGCAAAAAATAGAGCCCTGCTACCAGACACCTGATCCTTCTCCGGGCCCCGAGCAGGAGCCGAGCCGGAGCGCCGGGCTTACCCAGGGAATCCGTTTTGTTTTCCACCGTGTCGTTGACCTTCCTGGCCACCCGGGCCACCGCCTCCCCCATCCTCTTCTGCATGCGGGCGCCCGGTCCCGCTGGGGACGCGCTTCGGCCAGGGGGATCCACGGTGGGAGGGAGAAACCAACCGCTCCGGCTTCTTGGGAGAGAGGTGCTAAAAATAACCGGCGGGATCAGTGTTCCCAGGGGAGGGAGGGAGGGAGGCTGTGCTGAGGCTGGCATGGCCCTTGGGGTCTGAGATTCCCAACTTTCCAGGATGGGATATGGAAATACATTGCCTTTCCTGGTATGAAATATGGGGATACATCCACTTTTCAGCATGGTATGTGGAGATCCATCCATTTTCCAGGATGGGATATAGGGATACATCCCCTTTCCTGGTATGAGACATGGGGTTATATCCCCTTTCTAGGATGGGATATGGGGTTACAGCCCCTTTCTGGTATGAGATATGGGGATACATCCCCTTTCCCAGATGAGATGTGGGGATATGTGCCCTTTCCAGGATGGCATATGGAGATACACCCACTTTCCAGGATGGGATGTAGGGATACATCCCTTTTCCTGGTATGGAATATGGGGATACATCCACTTTCCATGATGGGATATGGGGACGCATCCTCTTTCCCAGTGATCAGGGCACAGGATTCTCAACTTTCCTGGATGGTACTTTGAGATGCGGGGGTGCATCCCCTTTCCGGGTGATGCGGGGGCAGCGTAGCCCTTGGGAATGCGGGATTCCCAACTTTTTGGCTATGGGGAACGCACCCCCTTTCCTGGTGACCTCGATCAGCTCGTCTCAGCCAAAACATTTCGACAGAACGAGCCTCGGACACGCCGGG